TGGTGGAGACCAAGGCACTCTAAAGAGTGAAGTGTGTAGAAATGGGAGTGAGAAAGCTAAGTTGAAATCAACAGAACATGTGGAATCTGTTTTATTGGATACAGTTAATAATAATCATGCTGGTGGAGACCAAGGCACTCTAAAGAGTGAAGTGTGTAGAAATGGGAGTGAGAAAGCCAACTTGAAATCAACAGAACATGTGGATTCTGTTTTATTGGATACAGTTAATAATAATCATGCTGGTGGAGACCAAGGCACTCCAAAGAATGAAGTGTGTAGAAATGGGAGTGAGAAAGATAACTTGAAATCAACGATACCTGTGCTTGAAGCTAGCAGGACACCATTTGCTGACAGGAATTACTCTAGTGGAAATGTCGATATTCTTGATTTCTCTATGGAAGCAGTTGTCCGGGGTGGTGGTTGGGAAGGGGATAATTCTGTCCCTCCTGAAATTGATTACAGAGAAAACATCACTTCATAAATCATTTGGGAGTTCTCCCCCATCCCCACTGGTTTCAAGTTAGTGTAGTTTTTTCTCCTATTTGTTCACATGTGTACTGTGTTGTGTTAGAGAGAAAGAGAGATGAGGGCGAGTACTGCTATAAATACAAGTCTGTGTTTTTTAATTCTATTGTGCTTGCTCTAATAGTCCAAGGACAAGTAGAGATTTCTTATTTTCTTTTTTGGATAATGCGGCTGTCCGGGCCGAATGTGATCCCACAAGCTATAATTTAATGGCTAGGTAAACTGCTAGGCGCTAGTTGTGGATGAGTTGAAGTAGCAATGACGCAAGAGAACTTTTTATTTCAGGGTTCAAACAACTTCCATGTTGACAATAGGAGATTTCTTTTACCCCTTCTCCCAACCCTATCATGTCTACTATAGGTTATGGAGCTGGTCAGTCAGTTCACGACCAGCTCCATAACCACAAAAACATTACCTGTAATACTGTATACCCTTACCATATTGGGCACTAATAGCTTATCTGAAGAAAAGCCGGAGCTTTGAAGGTATAATACAACGAATTAGAAGAAGAAAAAAAAAGAAGGCAAAGTGTGATATAATGAAGTATCATTAATTCATTATGACACTTGAATTGAAAAAAATAACTAACGAGCTTCACACATTTTGCACGAAAATATTTAAGAAAAATAAAACTAAAAATGTGAAACCTATTCAACAACAACATCAAAGCCTTAGTCCCAAAAGATATTGGGGTCGGATAACATGAATTGATACATGATATCACCATCAAAAGGAAAAAAAGGAAATAAAGATAAAAAAGATAAGCTATTAAGAAAAAGACAATATAAAAAGAGATTAATATACCTAAAAATGATAAAATAAAAAGGATAAAATAATGTTTATATATATATATATATATATATATATATATATATATATATATATATATAAGAATAAAAGCATTAAAAAAACAAGAAAAAATGAGGGGAAACGATAGTACGAGATCACTTCTCCACACGAATACTCGCCCTCCACTTTGCTCTCTCCAAGTCATACCCTCATCTAACCCAAGAAGAAGCATGTCACTTCGGACTCCCCTAACCCACGTCTGTTTGTGCCTTCCTCTCTCTCTCTCTCTTCTCTGCCTCTTCTCCACACATCTCAACTCGTCTGACAGGTGCATCATTCGGTCTTCTACGCACATGACCAAACCACCGTAGGCGTGACTCCCGCATCTTGTCTTCAATAGGTGCTACTCCCACTTTTTATTTGATTGTCTCATTCCTCATGTGGTCCTTCCTAATATGCACACACATCCAACGCAGCATGCGCATCTCCGTCACACATCTTTTGAATGTGACATTGTTTCACCGCGAACACTCTATGTCATACAATAATGCAGGTCTAATTGTTGTCCTATAAAACATACCCTTCAGTCTAGTCGGCATACCTCTATGGCATAGAAATCCTGATGCACTCTTTCACTTCATCCACCCTGGTCTGATTCTATGGGATACATCTCCATCTAACTCACCGTCATTCTGAATTATGAAGACCAAGTAACAGAACATATCGCTGACCGGTATCTCATTACCATCTAGAGTAATTCCGTTATTACAACTGCTTCTACCTCCACCAAACTTGCACTCCATGTACTCTTTCTTGCTCCGACTTAGTATGAAACTCTTGTTCTCCAATGTTTCTCGCCATACTTCCAACTTTGCTTCAAGACCTGATTGCATCTCATCAATCAATACAATATCGTCGGTAAACATCATGCACCACAGTATTTCGTCTTGAATTGACTTTGTAAGTTCATCCATGACTATGACAAATAAGAAAGGGCTCAGAGCCGATCCTTGGTGCACTCCGATAGTAATAGGGAACTCCGCAGTCCTCCCTACACTAGTACAGACACTTGTAGTACAATCCTCATACATATCCATGATGATGCTGATATAATTGCGTGATATGCCTTTTCTAGTTAAGAGCCACCAAAGAACTTCTCGAGGTACCCTATCATAAGCCTTTTCTAAGTCAATGAACATCAAATGCAGATCCCTGTGAGTGTCTCTATACTTCTCCATAAGTTGTCGAAGAAGGTGAATGACCTCAGTTGTTGAGCGACCAGGCATAAAAACGAAATGATTCTCTGAAATCTTCACAGTTCTTCGAAGTCTTTGCTCAATCACTCGCTCCCAAAGTTTCATGGTGTGACTCATAAGCTTAATCCCTCGATAGTTGGCACATTCTTGTACATCACCTTTATTTTTGAATAAGGGGATAAGAGTACTCTTCCTCCAACTCGTTGGCATCTTGTTGTTTCTCCAAATCTTGTTGAAGAAACTTGTTAACCACTCAACGCCTCTCTCTCTCCCAAACTTCTCCAAGCCTCGATCGGTATGCCATCTAGACCCACTGCTTTCTTCCGCCCCTTCTTCCTCAGAGCCTCTTTAACTTCCGTTATTTGGATCCTTCTCACAAAATCATGATTTACCATACAATCTAGTATGGTTAAATCACCGATATCTTGCGCTTTGTTCCCGTTGAATAGTGTATCAAAGTATGACCTCCACCTCTATTTTATCTCCTCGTCCTCCATTAGTACCCTTTGATCGACATTCTTCACTCACTTAACTCTTCCGATATCTTGAGTCATACGGTCACGAAGACGAGCAAGTTTGTAAATATCTTTTTCTCCTTCCTTAGAGTCCAATTTTGCATACAATTCTTTGTTCACTTTTCCTCTTGCTTCTTTTACAACTTTCTTTTCTCTTTTTCTAGCCTCCTTGTTCTCCTCTATATTCTCGTCGCTCCAACTTTTGCCCAATTTCTTATAGCAGTCCCTTTTGATCCTTATTGCTTGTTTTACATCATCATTCCACCAAGATGTGTCCTTTTTTGTGGTAGACATCCTTTAGATTCTCCAAATATCTCTTTCGCCACTTTGTTAAAGGTGGACTCCATTGATAACCACACATCATCCACATGTGCGTCATTATCAATGGACCATACATCTTCCTCCAACATTTTCTGTGCAAAAGTTTGTTAGACATTCCCCTCGAGCCTCCACCACTTTATCTTTGGCTCCCCTTGTACCTTAACCCTCTTTCTCTTTTTACTTTGAAAATCAAGCACAAGCATCCTATGTTGAGTGACAACACTCTCACCTGAAATAACATTACAATTAGTGTAGCTAGTTCTCCAAGTCGTTCGTACTAAAAAGTAATCAATTTGGGTACTATTAGCTCCACTTCTATAGGTCACAAGGTGAGTCTCTTTTCTTGAACCAAGTGTTCATCACAGCCAACTCATATGTCGAGGCAAAATCCAGAATGTTCTTCCCCGCTTCATTTCTAATGCCAAAACCATGTCCGCCATGGATTGAAGGGGTGCTTTGAAGGGTTTAGAATATTCACATCTCTTCCGAGCATTTCTTTTTTTGGACTGCATGATCACGCCAAAAATATCATCAAGGTCACTATATTTTACACAGAAAGGACATCCTAGAAGCAGAATAGGGCAAATATAAACATAATTCATTTATACAAATTTTACAAAGAAAATGGACATAAGAAGAAAATTCCTTATTATACTAAAGGAAAAGGAAAATTGGAATTTTTTCCCACCCAAAAATCTGAATAAAACAGTCCAAAAACGGGTCAGAAATGAGGTGTAGAAGATGGGTAAAAAAGACTTTCACGTGCCATCTAGGCATATACTGGTCCCACAGGTTAGACCCCTTGAAGCGAGACCAACGCCGAGTATACCAGTTCCGATCCCTTGGCATACCCTAGTTTTTTATTTTTATTTCAAATTTCAATTTTTATTTTCTAAACCCTTCATACCCCGTCAATCCGTCATTATCCATTTTTAGCTTTTAAATTGATTTATACTTCTTTTAAAATGCTTATAAGCCTTGAAATGCAAAAAAAAAAAAAAACGAATCAAGACTAGACCGGCCAATCTCGTCTTGAAAAAATCTAACCGGGACCAGCACCAAATCACCGATCTTCGACCTGAACCAGGAAAATAGGCCCGATAGTCTCATGAACCAGGTGATCACATTCCTAGACTGTGGACCAGGTCCACCCCTGGTCCCATCTATTAAGTATTACTAGTCCGTATACAAAGGGAGAGACACCTTATGCGGGAAGATGAGCAAAAAATTTATGTAATCTTAGCTGGGGTCATGTAGTCATTCACTTTTATATCATTATATATTTATATGTATCTATTAATGAATAGATTCTCAATTTAAGGGGTGTTTGGAACTGATTCTGCTTTTGTTTCTTTTTTAAAAGCAGAAGCAGAATCAAAATCCAGAAGCTGGTACCCCCAGCTTCTAAAAAAACTGATTCTGAGAGTAAATTAGAGCTCCAGAAGTGTTTCTGGAATTTCACCCAAACACTCCCGCTCCTGCTTCTGCTCCATGAAGGAGCAGAATCAGTTTTGAAAATCAGATCCAAACACCCCTAAATTGACTGATTATTGTGATGCCACATAATCCGTAATTTGGAGAAACTTTAAAAACTCAAATTTGAAGGGTTAGATAATGGCTAGAAATGGGTAGCACATGTCCACGGCATTCAGATAGAAACACTATTTTCAAAGCAACAAAGCAAGATAATTCACATGATTCAATTCCTCTCAACAACACCAAATTAGACAAGATTGTAACATATAGAGCTGTCGGGAAATGATAATACGCTGCAGAGTTTCAGACTACCAAGCTGATGTCTAATTAGCAAACACAAAATGCAGGGAAAAAATAAATAAATAAACTACTGCTGCTCTCCAACTATCGTTTACAAGTGATCCAGGAATTTCTCCATCTCCAAATAGCTATACAAAAGTCTGCAGATATTATTCTTGGTAAAACGACCTGTTATTTGAAAAAAGAAGAAAGAAACGGTTATGAATAGATATTTGCCTTTAGCCAAAGGCTTCGGTTTATCATTACTAAAATAATCGAGTTCTTTATCATTTTTGGACCTCTAACTATTTGAAAGTGACACTAGTGGACCTCTTCGTTTATTGGGGAAAGTTAAAAAACATGCTTTAATAGTGTCACTTTCAAAATAGTTCAAAAACAAATCAAAAGATGACTCTGCAACAGTTCAAGGGTTAAAAGTGAAACTTTCAAGATGAGTAAGAAACTTATAATTGGCACAATAGTCCAATGACTAATATGCAAAAACTCATGAGAAAAAGTAGTTTATGACTTACCTATTTGGTTGAAACCGATCTGATCAATGTTTTTCCATTTAAAAGATTCATCCATTTCAGCCATGCAACTCTTATTGAACAGACTCCAAAATGCAAGTAAAATGATACTAATATAACATATACTACCCTCTGTCCCAAATTAATTGTCTTGTTTGGTTTGGCGCACTTGTTTAAAAGTGGTTGAAAAGGTAAAATATGTGGATGTGATCAGAGTAAAAAATAGTGAAATGATATCAACCAAATACTTTTGTCCAAAAAGAAAACTAGACAGATTTTTCAGGACAGAGGGACTAACACAAAATAATTCATTTCGAACCGTCGATGGGAAGTCTAGAGCGAGTTTTTTTTCCTTCATCTACTTTGGGCTCTTTTTCAGCAAAACCCCGATCTTCTTGAGCATGTTGTTGCCATTTTTCTTCTTAGGGGAGTCGTCATCAGCCTCCTCTGAGAAAGGTGATCCTAACCTCCCTCCAATCGTATGGTGGTAGTCCATAGAACCCGTCCTCCCCACATACTTCCCATTGTGGTTCCCAGCAGTAGAAAGCATTGCAGTGGCTGCCTCGGCAGCTTTCCTCCACTGATCAGACTGCACTTTCAACCTCCTCATCTCCGTCTCCAGCTCACCGTTTGCAGCTTGTGCTGCATCCAGCTGCTCGGTCACATATATCGCCTTTCTGCTGCTTCTCTCTGCCTCTTCTTTCATGTACCCAAGCCTCGCCAATGCTTCCCTCTCTCCTGCTTTCGCCTCTTCAACTGAAGCAATTTCTTGATTCCGCTTCTTGATTTCAGACTTCAGCTTTTCATTCTCCTGACTTATACTGTCCAGCTCTGCTTCTAAACCAGATACGCACCTGTTTTCTTCGCCTGAAAAATATGCCATCTTATTTGATTTTCTAAAAATGTAGCCTAGCCTAAATCTTTCTAGTCTGGTTTGGTCTAAATTTAACAACCCCATATTATTTTGAAATTTGTGTGCTCTGTTTGAGATTGGCTCTGATATCATTATAAAGTTGTGGTTTCATAATCTTTATATCTTTATTCATATTTGAATCAGTATCAAATATTTGACCGGTTTGAGATAACTTAACATCTTTCTCGTTATGTGTAGCCTAAATCTGATTAGTCTGAACTGCTCTTTTAATCTTAATGTTTTAACAATTCAAGTTTCTTGTCTGAGATATAAGATGACTTCTTCAGTTCTTCTAGGTTGAATCTTTATGGTATGGTTGGTCTGAACCATTAGGTATCTGGTATGATCTACCTTTTCATTGGCTCTATGTTTCGGGTATGGTCTAATTCAAATGACAATAGTTGAAATATAAGTTGAAGAAAACTTCACCTAAATCAGACTCTATTGGTTTTCCATCAGTTTGCGAAAAATCCAGCCCCTCATTCACGCTTGAAATGCTAGCTTCCATTTCCATCAGTTTTTCCTTCAAAGCTTCAACATCAGCTCTTGATGCTTTTAGTTCTAGCTTCGTCTTCTCCATTTGTTCATAGGCGCTCCTGATCTGCAATGTGCTCTGAATATACTGTTCCTCATTCCTTCTCTCTGCCTCTTCCAGTGCAGCTCTTAGTTGGCTTGCCTCTGTTTTCAAAGCCATGACATCAATCGCTTCCTCATTATCTCCTTTTTCCAGATAATTATCAGCTTGACCTCGACCAGACAACTGCAGTTTTGTAACAAACTCCTCAAGACAACTCACACGCTTCTTTGATTCCTCCAATTCCAATTGCGCTTTACTGAGTTCTTCAAGAGCCTCAGCATTTGCTGACTCAGCCTGTATAGGTGGTACAACCATTTTGGATTCAAGCTGGTTTTTTAGCTTCTGGATTTCGGCATTAGCTGAAGCAAGGGCAGTAGAGTCCAATTCGTGCTGTTTTTGGAGAGCTTCGAGTTCGGATTTCCAGGCCTGGTCACGATCGTGTGAGATCTTGCGCAACTCTTGGAGACGAGCTTTGTCAGAGTCTGAGAGCTCGGAAAGCTGTTTCTGAGACTCCTCCACCTGCTCTGACATGGCAGCAAGTTGCTTTTTTGCCTCTTCTGCCTCAAGATGGGCCTTTTTCTTCGACGCTTCAGATGAGCTTAACTGGTCCTTTGCCTTCTTCAGCTCTTCTTGGAGCTGTGCACGCTGTGCCTCTAACTCTGTCATTTTGGCTGGACGTTTCTTCTGGATTTTCACAAAATAAATCAGAAGTATATCATATATGTTTCTGTGGAAATAAAAAAGAGAGAAAGGAGGAGGAGAAAAGATGAGAAATGAAGCATTTCAAAGTCAAGAACATAGAGGATAATTTATAATTATTCTTAGAATGGTAAGGGTAATACTCAATAATTAATTAGGGACTCTTATTCTTAGCATTCATTTGTTTGGATAGCAAAGAACAAGGATAACAGTGCACATGTTTCAAGAGAAAAGAACAAGAGATGAAAGCACTCTTTTAAATCTCTTCTCCCATGGGTGGAAAAGTGGTATGATTGGTGCATAATATTTTTAAATTTTTTTCTCCCACTTGTTCTTTTCTTCTTAAATACTCCATAACATATTTCAATTGAAAGGAAATTTTTTCATTTTCACAAAGACACATTCCTTTCAAGCCATGATATTGAAATAATGACAATTATTTAAGTGAAATAAAAGAAGATAGAATGTGACTTCTGCTGCTTAGTGACAGATGGTATTTTTATGATGACCATAGTGAGCATGATGATGTTATATTTTTCTTTGTAGTGATTATGTTGACATTTTTGTAGTGACTATATATTCATACTTTTGTCCATTGGTCCTTTCGTAATATTATAAATCATCATCCATATTTTGTATTTTTTATAATGCAACGGAGTATGTTCTTTCAGAAAATAAATATAGTCTCTTCAAAATTATAAAACAAGTAAATAGTAGGAAAACATCATTCATATTCCGTTATTTTTTAATGAAGTGGAAGGTTTTCTTACACAAAACAAATGAAGTGTCTCAAAACTTATAAGACAAGTGAAAATTGAGCATTGCAGCATCGTCAAGAAATTGAACGATAAAGGTTACACTGTCACACATGTAAGCATAAACAGCTTTGACTACCTCAATAGCGGGACTTCGTGGGGACCGCCGATCAACGACTCTTGGGCTTCTTTCCTTCGGTGTCCGGCTTGATTGATTAGGCGATGAAATAGATTCAGAATCTGCATTGATGGTTCTCACCTTCCGACTCGTCTTTGGTGTAGTAGGAGATGACCTTTGTGGCACATCCACAGTAGTTCTGCATTGATGAAGCATCAAACATTGTTGGATCACAATAAAATCAACTTTAATTTATTTTGTTTGCAGGACTGATGGTTACATTAGTTATGAACTTGGATGTCTTCAACTTTAGTAGCTCTTCATGTAACATTTAAAAAGGCATTTGTAACCCTTGAACATTTGTATGCAATCATCAATTAAGGGTCTGTTTGGTAATGTGTTTTGTAACATCCATTTCATCCAAATAAATAAATAAATAATTGCTTATTCTGCTACCAAACGGGGACCAAGTTATAACCACTTTAGCCATTGAGGTGTGTGACTTTTTCATATTACATTAGGATTGTTTGATGGAAAAAGTTCAAACAAACCATTCACTAAGAGGTTTTAGACCAAGTGGGTGTTCAGTGTTGACAAGTGGTGGATTTTAGTACTTCTTTTCAACTCTTTAGTAACATTTCTCCTTTTTCTTATAACTTCATTGTCAAATAGTTTATACCAAAAGAAACCTGAATTCAGTGAGATAGTCCTCATAAGAAATAGAGATAAGAAAAGGGGGAAATGATTCTAAAGGGTTTATTACTAGTAGTAGTAATAACATACATAAATGAAAACATCCACATTTATGTATTGTCCTCATAAGATAGTTTATTGCGAGTGAGACTACTAGATATAAGGCACCTCAAATAGAAATGGGATTTATGATTCGTGAATAACATTCTGAACTCAAAATTACTTAGGAAGCAGTTTATTTAAAGTCCTACTTTAAACTTAAAGTAGTTTAAAGTACCTTTCTTAGGAAGCATTTTATGAAAAGTCCTAAATAGCCAGTAATAAAAACTTAAATACCTTGCTTTTGATGTTTGCATATTTAATTTTCACCAGAAGGATTTTTTCCCTTTCCCCAGAAAAAGCCCACCTGTCACAATGCACCAGAAATAGTTCAAACAAAGCCTCGTCTGAGACAACTTAAATAATATAGTCAATGAGGATTATACAAGATTGTACGCAATTCAAACAAACTACAGAATTGCTTCAAAGAGACAGCCATTGAAATCGCATCCATGGCTCCACACATACCAACGAAGACTATATAGAGACGAAGAACGTGTATACACTTTATATTGGCCAGTGAAGAAGAGTCCAGTTGTAATTAATTATATCTTGTTTTACTTAACTAGTCTTGTAAAAAAAACTTAACTAGTCTTGTAATTATAGTGAAGGGGAGCCTATGCGCACTGGGTTAAGGTGTTGATGTGTGACAGAGAGGTCACGGGTTCAAGTCTTGGGAGCGACCTCTTGTAAAAAAACTGACAGGGGAAGGTTTGTCCCTTATACACCCTTGTGGTGAGACCCTTACCCGGACCCTTGCCTTGTGAGGATGACTTGGTGCACCGGGCTGCCCTTTTTAGTCTTGTACTTATGTTAAGACACACACTCTTTTTATTTAATGACAGGTCTCACTGTATTGACTTGTAAATATGGCTCATCCGTATACATTTTCATAAACTAGTCTTGGAATTATGGTAAGACACACACTCTTGTTATTTAATGACATGTCTCTCTGTATTCACTTATAAATATGGCTCATCTGTATACATGTTCATAAACTTTTCCAAATTACTCTTCATCCGTTACCCGATTCTCACATAAACTGCCCAAAGTAAAAGGAAAAAACACAGAAAAGAAAGCTAAAAAGAATAGTTCTAAATAAGGAGTAAAAGCCATTTATTCACTTGATGTTCTTTCCTTTTTCTTATATTCTACCTCTTAGCCTACAATGCACAGTAATAATAAATATTTTTTGCATACATTGGAAAGGAGTAATAATAATAATAGTAATAATAAAATAAATGGTACAACATTACTTGGAAAAAAGGAATAATACGAGTAATAACTAACCTTACATTTCAAGGTTACCCCATAAACAACTTTGCTTCTTTGTTACTCATATTTTTCTATATCGGTGTACTAAAGGTGACTCCTCTACAAATGTCTTTCTAATTTCATTGAACCGCAGTTATCTTTAAACGATAGGAGGAAATAATCCAAACTGGAACTTTCTTCTTTTCAAAAGTTAAAACTTTTCCATAAATAGAACCAAGTAACTTTGCTCCTAAAATATGTAAACACTTAATAAAGATAAGAAAATCATAACAAAAAAAATACACCCAGAGTTGGACAGAAGAGAACAAAACCAGCACATTACAGAGGTTTGAAGCCACAACCGATGATAAAATTGATATAACAAAATTGAGTATGATAATATTAATATTGAAGAGGAGAAAAGGAGTTAGCCGAGAGCAAAACTCTGCACTTACTTATTCATACATCATGCGTACATGTATATATAGTACAACAAAGGGGTATGACTCATCACAAGAGAGAGAAGATGGCTCTTGCATGGTCCATACCAGAATAGGAGTAATAATCTAATACGTAAATAGTAAATATGCTACTTAACTAGTTATTACAATAATAAAATATAACATGTTGTAATACTCCCCCTCAAGGTGGAGTGTGAAGATTGCGAACACCCAACTTGCTTCGAAGAAATTGAAATCGGTCAGCGCCCAAGGCCTTTGTGAATATATCAGCAACTTGATTGGTTGTGGAGATGGATAGTGGTCGAATCTCATTAGTGGCGACTCTTTCTCGGACAAAATAACAATCTATCTCAACATGTTTAGTACGTTCATGGAAAACTGGATTAAGCGCAATATGTCGAGCAGCTTGATTATCACAGTAAAGAGATGTAGGACCTTCTTGAGGAACTAGAAAATCCTGAAGTAACCATCGCATCCACAAAATCTCGCTAACAGTTACTGCCATAGCGCGGTATTCTGCTTCGGCGGATGAGCGAGATACAACAGATTGTTTCTTTGTTCGCCAAGAAACGGGTGAATTACCAAGGGTGATGAAGTAACCGGTACTGGATCTACGAGTAAAAGAGCACCCTGCCCAATCTGCATCGCAATAGCCCCGGAGCGTGAGGTCAGTTTCTGATGATAGGAAAATTCCTTGACCCGGTGTTTGTTTCAGATACCGCAGAACACGTGTTGCCGCATCAAGGTGTGTTTGACGTGGACAACTAAGAAATTGACTGAGTTGACTAACAGAGTAAACAATATCCGGACGAGTCACAGTGAGGTATAATAAGCGCCCGATGAGACGGCGGTAAGAAGAGGCATCCACCGGAGGGCTATCATCATCTGGGCGAAGTTTTAAATTTTGCTCCATGGGAAACTGAGAAGGGCGTCCAGCGAGCATACCACTCTCTTCAAGAATATCAAGAGTGTACTTACGCTGGCTCAAGACAAAACCATCTGGAGAGCGAGCGACTTCAATGCCGAGAAAATATTTCAGTTTCCCCAAATCTTTAATACTAAACTCATTGTTTAAGTACTCTTTTACTGTATCAATGTGGGTAATGTCATTTCCTGCCAGAATTACGTCATCGACATAGATGAGAGCAAATGTGACAAGTGAGCCTTGTTGGAAGATAAATAGCGAATGGTCTGCTTGGGATTGACGGAAACCAATTTTGGTGAGAGCTTGGGTAAATTTATGATACCAATTACGAGATGCCTGTCGTAATCCATAAAGTGATTTCCGTAATTTGCAAACGCGGGTATCACCAGCCTTTTTAAAACCTTGGGGAATACGCATGTAAACATCTTCAGACAGATCTCCGTGAAGAAAGGCATTGTTTACATCCAATTGATGTACTATCCACTTACGTTTGGCTGCAACTGCCAGTATGCATCTCACAGTAACAAGCTTAGCGACAGGGGCAAAAGTCTCATGAAAATCAATTCCCTCAACTTGTGTATATCCTTTAGCTACCAATCTAGCTTTATAACGTTCCACATCTCCATTAGGCTTATATTTAATTTTATAAACCCATTTAGAGTCAACAACTCTTTTCCCTGGTGGGAGATGGACCAAAGACCAAGTTGCGTTTTCTTCTAAAGCATGAATCTCCTTTTGCATGGCCTCCCGCCATAGTGGGTCTTGGACTGCCTGAGAAAAATATTTAGGCTCATCACGTGAAGTGATAGCAGCTAAAAAGGCTTTATGTGTGGATGAAAATTTTTCATAACTAATAAAATCAGATATGGGATATGGTTTTGAGTTGACTGAATTGGTAATGGGTCGGGAATGATCAAGTGAAGGTGGCAATTGAACTTCATAATTGTCAAGATGCTTTGGGATTTTACGGTTCCGATCATGTCTTCTTGACTGATTAGAAGGACCCACTGGAATATGTCCTTCTGCTAGATTGTCAACTTGAGAGGGAAATTGTGCAGAATTATTTGGTGACTCTTGAAATCCAGTAGGTGGCTGGATTAATATATCAACAAGTGGCTCCTCATGATTTTTAGAGGTGGGGCCATGATTTTGGAATTCACATGCAGAGGTTGGAGGATGATTGATTTGCTGCTGCCCATTTCCGTGTAGTTGCTCGCTAGCTGGCTCCAAAAATGTATCTGGCGTATTCCTTGCTGCAGATGTGGGGCCGCGGAAGATTTCAGCATGTGGAGAAGATTCAAGGGGAATCGGCTTGGCCGGCGGCACTGTTGTTGATCCGAGAGTGTACTGCTCCCATGCGGCCGGTGCTGTTGGTGTGGGGCCACGGCATGGCTCCTCACAAGAATTTTGTCTTCGTGTAATAATGGGATGTAGGCTGGTACTCACGTTTGTGGTGTTGCTCTGCTCTGTGGGATACTCACAGGATAAAATATGATTGTATACTTTGTTAATAAGAGTGGGGAAATCAAGCTCATGATCGAGACTGATTTTAAATGGAAACTTCTCTTCATAAAAGGTTACGTCTCTGGAATTGTATACAATATGTTTTTGCAAATCAAAAACTTTGTATGCCTTTTGACCATGCGGATAACCCACAAATATACAAGGGCTCCCCCTCTCACCGAATTTATCTTTTCTTTTATTGATGTGTGCATATACCAAACATCCGAACACTCTTAAATGTTCATAATTGGGCACTTTCCCAAATAACATTTCAAAAGGACTTTTGTTTTGAATGATGGGAGAAGGAAGCCTATTAATAATGTAAACAGCTGTCAAAATGCATTCTCCCCAAAAATCAATAGGCAATCCAGATTGAAAACGTAATGCTCTTGCTACTTCCAATATGTGTCTATGTTTACGCTCTACAACTCCATTTTGTTGAGGTGTGTCTGTGCATGACGTTTCCAATAATATCCCAGTGTGCCCATAATAATCAAGTAGACTATTGGTTTGAAATTCTACGCCATTATCTGCTCTTATTCTTTTGACCTTTTGTTCAAATTGGGTATTAACCATGTTGCAGAAATGAATTAAAAGCTGAGGAACTTCAGATTTATTTTTCATTAAATAAACCCACACACCTCTAGTATAATCATCAACAATAGATAGAAAATACCGTGCTCCGGAGATTGAATCACATCTATAAGGTCCCCAAATGTCGCAATGTATCAATTCAAAACAGCGGGTTGTCTTAATCCCACCTTTGGGAAAGGGCAACCTAGTCTGCTTAGCACGAATACATGGATCACAAAAATTATCATTCCGTTGAAAACCCTTGAGAGAACTAATATGATGTATCTTTCCATCGGATGCATGCCCCAAACGTTGATGCCATAAATCAGAAGTAATTGAGACTGACATTGCCACCCCTTCACTCTTCTGAGATTCTAAATAGTAGAGACCATCACGGAATTTACCTATGCCAATAAGTTTTCTCGTGGATAAATCCTGGAAAACACAGAAGTCTGAGAAAAATGTTAGCGTACAGTTTAGGTCGTTCGTTAGGCGACTAGCTGATATTAGGTTACACTGAAATTGCGGAATGTACAGAACGCGTTTAAGATGGAGCCCATTGGGTAAATATAAACTTCCAACAGCATGAACCGGGATTGATTCACCGTTAGGAATTCTGACTGGTGGTTGTGGGATGTGATTCATGATATCGAAAAGGTTAATATCACTACAAGTGATATGTTCAGTAGCTCCGGAATCAATTATCCAAGGACGAGCATGTGGCAACGTATATGCCATATTCACTTGAGCTCCTAACAAGGAAGAAATCATATTCTCATGGCAAGTCTTGACGGTTGGACCACCAACCTCCATAACTGATCTAAACAAAATTATACAGAAAAGCAAATATTTTGCTTTCAGGATTTTGGCTCTGATACCATGATAAAATTGATATAACAAAATTGAGTATGATAATATTAATATTGAAGAGGAGAAAAGGAGTTAGCCGAGAGCAAAACTCTGCACTTACTTATTCATACATCATGCGTACATGTATATATAGTACAACAAAGGGGTATGACTCATCACAAGAGAGAGAAGATGGCTCTTGCATGGTCCATACCAGAATAGGAGTAATAATCTAATACGTAAATAGTAAATATGCTACTTAACTAGTTATTACAATAATAAAATATAACATGTTGTAATAACCGAGGGCCCCACCTACCCTGGCAGGTGAGTAATATCTCACGGGACGCACACATGATGACAGCAGGATTTGATTCCAGATTGGAGATGGAAGGAGGTGAAACTTGAAAGCCACCCGAACCAAAGAACGATTAAAAACATCAAGAAGAAACTTGGCTTTAGTTTGGAGTCTTAATATCATTTTATTTTGATCTTTTTTGTGAAAGTTCACTTATTGGGTTTATAAATTTATAGATCTGACGAAGAGAAATGCAAACTCTCCGGATACATCTGCTGCAGAGATATGAAACCCAACGTACCAAAGACTGAAGCTTTAAAGTCTAAACCACAAACCACCCACTGACCCACATTGTAAGAACAACTTATACTCTTCCCGAAACCCAACCCGAACAAACCCATAGAGAGAAAGGGAAAAAATCAATACCTCTCTGGCTCTCTCCATGTCTCCAACTACAAGAACAGTACAGACAACAAAACCAAAATAGCGAAAAAAATAACAACAAAGAGAGAGAACCATATTTTTAACGTGCTTTTGACCAGGAAGCAAAGTGGACATACCAGAAAGATCTGCACTGAGCTAAAGCTGAAAGCTTTAGCTGCGGAAGCTGGAAAATGAGAACTTTCACACAAAAAGAAACGAAGATGAAAAAAACTCCATCTTTTCCGAGTTCCAAGAAAATGAAGAAGAAAGAAGGGCTTGATGGGTGGCTGAGGGGATGTTGGTGGGTAGTGAGTGAGGATGGGAGGGTGGTTTATTGCTGGGTAGTGTTGAAGGGAGCTGGAGAAGGTACAGTCGCACAGTTCCCGAGTCTCTTTCTGTGTAAATGAGAGGAGAGAGAAGCGGAGCAATCAGGCAATGAGTTTGGCTCGTGTAATTAAGTTCTCATTCCCACTCTCTCCCCGTGATACACGCGCGGATGCATGTAGGCTTGTCAATGGGTCGGGTCTAGACCCGACCCGGATCCGACCCGAACCCGGTTATTTTTACGGGTACAGGTCTATATTTTATTCCCTTCACCCGGATCCGGACCCGTTAGTACTTTTAATAAACCGGTCGGATTTGGTACATATGATTCCGACCCATTCAGGATCCGGACCCGTTTAATTATTTTTATATGTATACACATCACACACACCGATACACTAAAGGAGTGTTTGCGATTACTTTAAAAAGCGTTTTTTAGCTTTTTGGCTTAAAAAAAGTTGAAAAGAGTGTTTCCAAATGACAGCTTCTGCTTAAATTAATTACTTTAAAGCTAAAAGCTGGAAGCAGGTAGAAGGGAGTGTTTGCAATTGCTTCAACTTTAAAAAAGTGATTTTTTAAAGTGATTTTGGGAAAAGTGATTAATAGTAAAAGTTGGTAGTGTTTGAGAAAAAAGTGATTCTGGAAAAATAAAAGTTGGTAGTGTTTGGTAAAATAAGTACTTTTGTGTAATATAAAAAGTGAGAAGCAGTTTAAAACACCCTTCTACCTGCTTCCAGCTTTTAGCTTTTAAGTGTTTAATTTAAGCAGAAGTGTCATTTCAAAACACTCTTTTCAACTTTTTTTAAGCCAAAAGCTGAAAAACGCTTTTTTTAAGCAAACCCAAACACTCCTGAAGGGTGCTTTAAACTGCTTCTCACTTTTTCTATTATACAAAAAGTACTTATTTTACCAAACACTACCAACTTTTACTTTTTCATAATCACTTTTTTCTCAAACACAATCAACTTTTACTATTAATCACTTTTCCCAAAATCACTTCAAAAAATCACTTTTTTAAAGTTGAAACAATTGCAGACACTCCCTAAGGGTTGGTTTGCAAATACTTTTAAAAAAGCACTTCTCAGTTTTTGGCTTTAAAAAAGCACTTATTTTCCCAAACACTACAACTTTTATTTTTTCCGACTTCCGCGTCAAAAGTGCTTTTACTTTTTCTATTACACAAAAAACACTTATTTTACCAAACACTACCCACTTTTACTTTTCAAAATCACTTTTTTTCAAACACTATCAACTTTTATTTAATCACTTCTCCCCATTTCATTAAATAAAACACTTTTATAAAAGTAGAAGCTGTTGCAAACAGACCCTAATACATAAAGTGATTAGTTTTAACACTTCAAATAAAAAAATTCAAACTAATACACACATATCTAAAAACCTTATAACTATGAATCATGGTTGGTAGCCTTATATTATGTCAATCTCTTGTGTGCATATGGATTTGTACTCTTTTATCAAAGCAATGTACTTAATTTTTCAAAGGCCATAAATACCCTGACTTGCTGCTTCCGTTAAGCTGGTTAAGTAATGACTTTGACAGATTTTCCAACCTCGGTTTCATAGACTATATATAAGGGAGTGTTTGCGATTACTTGTGCTTTTTAAAAGTAATTTTTTTAAGAGATTGTTGGAAAAGTGATTTGTAGTAAAAGTAGGTAGTGTTTGGAAATAGAAGTGATTTTAGTTAAAATGTAAAAGTTGGAGTGTTTGATAAAAAAGTGATTTTTTATGTAGTTTTTTTGTAAAGTACAAAATTGCCCTTTTTTAAAAATATTTTATCTTTGAGTGTTTGCAGACTGCCCCTTCTCTCATCTTTCACTCCTTCATGCGATTACTAGTGCCGCAGCAGACTAGAAGAAACTCCATCAGCTCCAATCCATCAATCCATGGCTACCACAGACTAGAAGAAACTCAATCGGCTCCAATCCATGGTTAATTGGCTACCGCCGGAGTTCCTAGCCACAACCTTGGAGAAGGCCGTTGCAGCCGCACCGCATCTCCTGGAAGGGGGTCCTTGAACCTGACGGCGGATGTTGCTGTCTCCGTCATGGTGGTGAGCCGGCTTCATTCTTGACGTCTTTGGAATGAGTGAACTCCATCGATTTAGCAAGAGGAGTGAGCTCCGACATAGGTTACAAAATGTGTTGCAGAGACCTACGTAGGATTGGTGTGGGAGCGATGAAGGGTATTTTGGGTTTAATGGGGTATGATATTATCCATAAAATTGGAGTTATTTACAATTTTATCTAGAAGCACTAAAAAGCACCTCTTAGGCTGCTTTTAGATTTTGGCTTAAAAGCACTTAAAAGAAGCAGAATCTGGGGTTACCAAACACCACTTTTAGCTTTTCCAAAGCTAAAAGCTCCAAAGTGCTTAAAAAAGCAAATGCAAACACTGCTTAAGACTACGTATTAGTGTATTACGATTTTTGTTCATATTTTAATAATGAGGTTATGAGGCCTTATAACTCATTACGTTTACGATTCTTATCCATATTTCAATAATGAGGTTATGAGGCTTTATAACTTATTATTTCTATTTTAATATTTTAGAATCAAACTAATTTGGTTTCCACAGCAAATTAAAATTAGAGTTCATTGTTATGAAATATTATGTATTTGCCGTTTACTACATTTTTTAGTATTACTACCTTTTTTAATTGCAACATGGATAATTACGAGAATTATTTTTCAAATATTGTTGAAATTGTCTAATTATAAATTTTCATAATTTGATTTTTAACCGTGCAACCTCTCATGTCCATCCACCACCCAGTACATAATGCGCGGGGATCTGCACTGCCATAGTGAATCGATCCTACATACATACCCCGATTAAAAAATGCCAACTATTATTGATTGTGCAGTTTGTGCTGATAATGCAATTAGAATCATCATATTGGTACACATTAAATTATTGTACTTTACTTCTATTCAGGGAGTAATTAGGGGGGATTTTAGATATGTCTCACCCCGAATTTGTAAAACGCTTATACTTATGTATTAAAAATTGTGTAAAAGATTATTAATTTTTTTTACCTACCACCATTAATAATTTTATCTAGATACATGACTCCTATTAATTTCATTCTATACTTTTTTTTTCTATCTTGCTATCCCTAAAAGAAAATTATTAAAATTGTATCTCAAAAATAAAAAAAAAATGGCCATCTAGGCCCCTGTCTTCAATAATCCAGATTTGAAAAAGCTACCTTTAAGTTTAAGGTTTCAGATGTTATCAATTTACTTTGTTTGAATGTATACTGTTTTCAATTATGTACATCGTACAAATGAATTATATGTGTTCATGATTTTAATATTGGGCATTTGCTATCGCGCATTGCGCGTATAAAAGCTAGTATTATATATACATAATAATACATAGGGTTATTAGTTGTATTTCTTCAATTAAAAATACACACCAACGCATACCTACTATATAAGCGATATTGATATGGATAGTGACATAACCTAAAACTAATATTCATTTTGGTCGTTTATACATAATTACATACTGATAAAATGTGCATTAGGCTTGGTAGGCAAAACATAATATTTATTATTATTAATAAAAATATTTTTATATCATTATCGTATACAATATGTCATTATACTCTCAGTAGTCCAAGAGACATTTTTGTGACTTAATTTCTAGATTATTCTACGAGTTTTTTTGTGCGAGAGAAAGTGACACAGTGTGGAGTTATATGTCACTACAAGAACCGATACTTTATTGGATAAAAGTATTAAATTTCTATAAGAAATCTTGAATTTTTTTGTAAAGGTAAAATATATTTTTGATTTTAAATTTACGCACTTTGCTTTACATTTCATTTCCAGGTCTTATAATATTGACAAAGTTTATAATGGGTCTGGGTCTACCCGACCCGGTTCCGAGACCTGTTGGGTATGGGTCCGGGTCCAAATTTTCATACCCGGCCCACTAGGTAAACGGGTCGGGTCCGGATCCATTTTTTACTTAGCGGGTCCGGGTCTGGGACACTACGTTCTGGCCCGGATCCGATCCATCGGCAGGTCTAGATGCATGCCCCCCTCTCCCCTTCTTATCCTTTGGTACTCTTATTTAAATAGCCTATTTGATTATACCAAAATTAATTAAGTTATGACTTGAGTAGCTAATACTAGTATGTTAAATTATACCTTCTCCGTAAAACAAAAAAAAATAAATATAATTTTTTTATAAAATACTCCGTAATGATTCATCATAAGTGATAGAGTTAACTCTACTTCCATATTCATTCACAATACACTATTTATCTCATTTTCTACTTCTCTAACTCAGAGGCCGTTTGGCAACATCCTTTTTCGGCTTATCAGACTTATCAGCCAACTTTTTCACCAAACACGTAATTTTTACTTTCGCGTGTTGAATTGTGTAATAAGCAGAAAAAGTAAGGTTAGAGTTACTTTTCTGGCTGTATTGACTGAAGTTACTGTAGATTACCATTTTAGCTATTTTACATATAACTTTTTCTTTATTTTATTAATAAAATATATTTTAAAAATAATTTTTACTTAAATCAGCAGAAACAGCCAAAGCAGCTACTTCAGCCAGAACTTCATAAATTTCAGCAGAATCAGCCAAAACAGCCGATTTTCGTGCTACCAAACGGACTCTCAATCTCTCCTAAATTATATAATTTGAATACCCTTATTATTCATCATTTTATGCTTTCATTGAGAGTTTAAACAATAATCAAGTGAGATCCCTCCCACTTTTGTCACAGTTTGGATGCCCCTATTTGTCCATCAATGTGAAAATAATCAAAATAGTTCTCTTAAACAATTTCAACCAACTGAACAAAAGAGTATTTCCAATCTTACTTATTTTGGTTAGTGTGTTTGTATTCTTCTTCTTGCTACAATAAGGGCATCTTCATTCATAGATTATTTTTGGGATCATTTTGATGATGTGGAGGATTTTTGGGGGATCTTGGATGAGGAGTTGAGATTATTTTATGAGATTATTTGATAAAATAATCTGGTATCAAATTCTAAAGCTAGATTATTTTGAAATTATTTCCAACTTTTATACTCCTCTCTCCATTT